ATCATAGTTACGTACCATTAACATTATGTACTAGTATCAAAATCAGAAAACTGATATTGATACAATAGTATTTATTAAACTACAGATCTTATTCTGATTCACCCATTTTTATATGCACTCTTTTTTTGATATATACTTTTACGACATTTTATCATATGTATAGATTTCCCTAACTACAACTACAATCAGGATATAGAACTACTCCATCCATCACCCTAAACAAACTCCCTGTATATTACACACTCCCCACCCATAACTCCTGGCAACCATTGTCCTGTAATTTTTACATATTGATAGTGTTATATAAGTGAAATCACACATTATATCACCTTTGACATTGACTTTTGTTCACTCAACATAATGCCCTTGAGATTCATCGAAGTTGTTGCATGCATCAATAGTTCATGCCTGTTTATTGATGAATCATATTCCATTATGTGGATATGTACCAACGTATATTTAACCATTCACTCAATGAAGCATAAAGTTTCTGAGATCCATCATCTGTTACCCATATCACTAGCTTATTGCATTTTATTGCTCTGTAGTATTCCATTATAGGAATATACCACAATTTATTCTTCTATTCCCCAGTTAATGGACATTTGGATTGCTTCCAGCTTGGGGCTATTATGGTTAAAACTGCGGTAAACGAAAGTCCTCGCGTGAAGATATATTTTCATTTATTATAGATAAATACTTAAGAGTGGGATTTCTGGTCCTATGTTAAGACCAACTTACAAGAAACTGCCGAATGATTTTCCAACGTCATAATACTGATTTGCATCCCATCAGCAAGGCACAAAAGTCCCAGTTGCCCCACAACTGGTTGGATGCTTGTAACAATTTCAAATACTTTAACTGTAATAAAAAGTTTGTTAGAGATGGTCATTTATTAAGCTTAGGTTCTTTTATTTAATCACCATTCTCATACTGCCACACTAGTGTTTATATATTTATTTATCACTTGCATATGCAAATAAAAACCAGTCTACATCTCTGCCCACGGAAGCTTCCACTGAGGGGTTTGACTGGAGCCTCAACTGCAGGTTTGGGTACAAGCTTCAGGTGCCTGGGGAGCACTGTGTGCTTGCTGCACAGAAGTAGGTGGCTGAGTCTCCAGGCTGGGAATCCATGATATGCAATGAGAAGTTCTTGGCACTTTTATTGAAGAAGATTTTGAATCTTCCTTCTTCTTTTTCGCTCGCAGCTGAACGTATGGCTATCAATAATGCAGGGCCTTTCCCAGGGAATTGTCGGTACCATGGAAAGTAGTCAAATGCACTGTTCTCATAAGCACAGTTTATAATTGAAATCCCTCCTTTCTGGACTATCAAAGATGGAGGACTTTGTTTCACCTGCTGCCGGTCACTTTCCTCCTTCTGTTGGCCACTCACCCCTGCTTAGAGAGATAACAAAATGTCATTAGGCCCCCCAAATAATATTTTCTTCTTAAAGTGTCTACCTGCCTGAGTTTGTCTGTACCCCAATTTTCTCATCCACCCAAGTTAGTAACATACCCTGGAGTTTCTCTTCCATAACTCACAGCATAGTTGAAGCCACAGAATTAAAAATGATGCTCCTAAGATCTTGTCCATTCCTCCTGGCACCAGAGCTCAGTGACAGCCCAGGTGGTCTTCCAGTCTTCCCAACCAGCTGAAACTCTGTAAATTCACCCTCAACTGAACTCTTTCAACAGGCCCCGCCCTTTCACAAGTGCTTTCACTTAAAGCTATCTCTGTGAAAGGAAGCACTTCCCCCACTTTGTCCAAATTTAGAATTGCTGAAGATATATTCTTTGGGAATCAGTAATCCTTTCTTTACACACAGATAAGTATCAGTTTAGAATTTCTGTCTCTCAAGCCCCTCAACTTTTCCTCAGACCTTTAAGATGGCTGGATATGTCAATAGAAAGGGCCTTACTTTACAATGGTGGAAGAGAGGAACTCCTGTGAAACCACAACATTAACATGTACAGTAGCACTCCTTTTTTATTGTGAATAATAATAAAGTGTATTGAGGCCACACAATGAACATAATATCCCATTACAAGCTAAGGTCATGAATCAGAACATAGAGAATATATGGTCCCTTTGTCCTCAGAGAACTTAAATTTTATTACAATTTTTCAGATGTATTTATTCCATATTTTAGATGATCCTCAGAAATGATATAATATAATTTAGCCAATTTTATTTTCTCCATATTTTTCCTAAATAGATTAAGTAAATTAAATATTTTTTAATGTAACTAGAAAAAGAAATTAGGAAATACTGAAATAATCTGTTCTGGAGGAGCTGTGATCTTTAAATGGATAAGGGAGGATAGAAATTCTGCAGAATACAGAAGAAATAGAGCTATAACAATCCAGTAATGCAGTCATTTTTGGTGGCTTTTATCCTGAGTTTGAATAAACCTTCGATATTTTCTTCACACTTCAAAATGGGTCAACTATGAAAATACAAAGGATAAATTCAACTTTTGATGTTAACACAAGCAGGATACACAGGCAGAAATGGAAGATAAATTCTAAAGCAGCCCTAAAATAGGAATGATCTGTATTATAAATCATATAAGTTAAAATAACATGAGAAGCACATTTTTTTCAGAAACACAAAAATGATTTTTTTGTATTTGTATTTGGTGTCACCGCAAATCCACTCAAAGAAAACACCATCCCAGTCCAATAGGAGACGATGGTCCACGTTCCTCAATCTAGAATCCAAACGTTTTCTTCCCCAGTACCCTAATGTGCTTTTTAAAAGTTGTTTAAAGTTTTGTTGTGCTTTCTTTTCTTTTAATTTATATATGAATACCTTCAATACATATATAGTGTATACTAAGTGCCTACTAAATTAGGTAGTACTTGGGCCTCATTTCATTCACAAAAGAGACATAGTCCAAGTCTTCAGTCAACCTAGTCCCAAGACTCAGGTATCAGCCAATATAACCTGCCAAAGACATCAGTGTGTTTAGATGATGTGATGAAGGAAAGATTGATGAAATCTGTTTCTGGACCCAGTCAAAGAAGAGTACGGATGGCGAGATGCTTGAACTGGGCCTCAAACCATGATTGATTTCCCCATAAAAAGAATGGATAAGGGAATTTTAGGCACAGATTCGTGTGGCTGGATATTGGACTGTATATGGGTGAAAACATTGTAAAGTTATACTAGAGAAGTTAATGTGGGCTTGAAGGATCACATGTATAATTCAAAAAAGTGTTGACTTCCAAAGTAAAGTTTTCCACTCTGTTAGAGTGGAATAAACACAGATACTAGTTAGGTAGATGAATGGGTAAATGCATAGAGGCACTGAATGAAACAGACACGTGAATTGAAGCAGACTAGCAGATAATTTACCAGATTTTAAAAGGATAATCTCTGGCTACTTGCTGAATTTGTGTATGTGGACAAATGTTAATCTTGTTTGAAGAAGCATTGCCCCCTTGTGGACTTATAGGGAGTTTCCATCAAACAATTTCCTACAGCTTTTAAAACTGTTCAGCAACCCCTGCATCTATCTATCAGAACACTGAAATAAGTGGCTGAGTCTTCCTCTTAAGCCAATGATTTCTTCAGATGAAAGGAGATTTTGTCCTTGCTGAGGTCAGGTATGTCTCAGGCGTATCTGGAGGAACTGATTGGGATGCTGGAGGTACCAGAGAGAACAGGGCTACTGAAACAGTGACACCGCAACTGCTCTGGGGTTCCTTCAGAGGCAGAAATTGGCCGTCAGATGGAGTCACTACATGAGATCTCCTTCCTCGCATAATGGCAACATCATATCAGGCAGAAGTCTTCACACTAAAGAGAATATGTCCTTAAATAGATCTAACTTAGTTAATTATACTTCATCTTTGTCAACACTTGGTATAGTAGTCATCTTTTCATTTGTAGCCAACATAGTGGCTGTATAGAAGCATATATATATATACTATATATAGTGGCTATATATCTTATTACTGTATTAACTTGCACTTCCCTGATTATTAATGACATAAGAGTCAGTAAACTTTTTCTATAAAGGGTTGATTAGAAAATATTTTAAACCTTGCAGGTGATTCAGTCTCAATGGCAACTACTCAGTTCTGCCATTGCAGCATGAAAGAAGCCATTGGTAACACTGGTAACACATTTAAAAAAAAAAAAAACTCAAGCATCGCTGTGGTTAAATAAAGCTTTATGAAAGTAGGTGGATGGCTGAATTTGGCTCATGGGCCATATTTTGTTGACTCCTGACGTAAAGCATCTTTTCATGTGCTTATTGGTCATTTTTATCTTTTTGTTGTGAAGATTCTGTGAAAATATTTTGTTAATTCTTAACTTGGGTCCTTTCTTCTCTTTGATTGAGTTGTAAGAGCTTTTTGCATATGCTGTACACAAGACTTTGGAATAATTTACATGTACACAAGACTTTGGAATAATTTACATGTTTCAAATAGTTTCTTCAAGTCGATGGCCTGTCTTTTTGTTTTCTTAAAGATGTCCATGACCTCTGCACTGAAAAGTCCAAAAACAGTACTGACAAAAATTAAAGAACCTTAATAAAAGAATAGATATGTCATGTTCATGAATTAGAGGATTCAATAGCTTTAAGATGGCAGTTCTACCCCCAATTTTCTATAAGTGCAATGCAATATCACTAAAAATTTTAGTAGGCCTTTTTATAGAAATTGACCAACTAATTCTAAAATTTATATGAAAATGCAAAAATAAACCTTAATGAATAACTAAAACAATTTTTAAAGGGAACACAGTTGAAGGACTCACCCTACCTGATTTCAAGACATTATAAACAACAGTAATCAAAACAGTTTGGTATTTGTGAAAATAAAACTTGTAGATCAATGAAACAAAATAGAAATAGATTCACGAATTCATATTCCATTAATTTTCAAACAAGATACCAAGACAATTCAATGGGTTAAAAAAGTGTTTTCAAGAAATAGTTGCAATAAAATAAAATGTGCTTGTATTTTAATGGATTT